CCATCACTTCACCAGCCATAATTGATGGACAATTAAGTTGTTTCATAAATGTAGTATATTCTCTAACGAATTTAGCCATTCCAACAAATCCTAATTGAACTCCCATATCACCTCTACAAATCCAAATTTCATCAGATTGACTTGAAATTGCTTTTAATCTTTCTAAATCCATTTCTCGTTCAATTTTAGCAACAATATATTTTCCATTACTTCTTTTTTTTAAGTCTTGAATTTCTTCAACTACACAAACAAATGATAAAGCAAAACATACTTCTTTAACATCTTTTAATTTTTCAACAATTTCTGCATCTCTTTCACTTAATTGATTTTGGATAAATGGATGTGGTTGTAAATTAAAACCTTTTCCTGGTTTTAATTCACCTCCTTTAATAACTGTTGCTATAGCTGTTTCTGAGTCTTTAATACAATTAACAACAATTTCCATTCTTCCATCATCAATTTTAACATGAGTTCCTTGAGAAAGTAGTTTAATAGTATTAGGGTTTCCAATATGAATTGCTTTTGTGTCTTTTGTTGGTGCTTTAATAGTGAGTTCAACTGTTTGATCTTTTGTTAAGATAAGATTTGGTTGTGAACGAGATATTCTAATTTTACTTCCTTGAAGATCAACATAAATTTTTTGACCTGGATATTTATCTACTAATTGATGAATAAATTCAACTAATTGTGGAACTTCCATATGAGAAGAATTTACTCTTAAATATGTGTTTTTGTGGGTAAGAACAAGTTCAGCTTGGTGTAATGTTCTAACTGTAGGAATAAAGATAAAAGACATTCAATTAATTAAAAGATTCATAATGTTTTTCAGATTAATATTAAAGAAAAGAAAAAGAATTAAGATTAAATAATAAGGAGATAATTTTTATTTTTCAATGAAGTATTAAAAAGAGAATTTAAATATTTAATTTAAATAAAAAAACAGTGAATTAGAATAATTGATTTTTTTAATTAAGTGAATAAATAATAATATTGGTATTTGTTGTAACTGCTAATGAAAAGTCATAGTCTGGGAAACATACAGAATTAACTGGATATGATTTAAATCTAAAGATATTTTCATATGATTTTAATTCTTGATATTTTGTTCCTGTTATTACATTATAAAGTTGAACATAATTATTTGTTGTTCCTATAGCAAAATATGGAGCTTCTTCATGTACACATGCACTTGTAATTTCTGGAATATCAATTGTTTTATATGCTTTACAACTTTGATTTTCACTTATTTTTCTTATGTCATATAAACAAACTTCTGATGTTTCTCCTTTACTTGTTGTAACAACTGTAAATGATCTAGTAGAATATCCTACATTTACAATTTCTCTTTTTTGTTCTTTCCATTGACTAATATTTTTACATCGAATATCAATAATATTGACTGTTCCATTACTACCTCCACAAAAAAATGATTTATCACTAAATGGACTTAAACAACTTACTGTCTCTTCTATTTTAAATGTATTAATACATTCTTCTAATTCTGCATCCCAAACACATATGGAATAATCCGCTCCTACACAAATTCTATTGTTTGTTAATGTTGAAAATCGTGCTTTACTTATTCCTTGGTTTGGAATTCCTCTCCATGAACTTACTGACTTATGTTCATTTGACCAATCTCCCCAAATTCTAATACTTCCATCTTCACATCCTGATATTAATAATGAATCACTTTTATTCATCCAATCAATAAAATTAATTGATGTGTTAATTGCATTAAAATTTGAAAATGTTTTTGTTGGAAATGGACTAACTTTATATTCATAAATTCCAATACTATCATTTCCAACATCCGTTAAAATAACTGGAAGTGTAGGATGGAAAATAACTTTTTTAGGAATATACATATTATTTATTATTGTTAATTTACTTTCTTCTTTCATTTCTCTATTTGGAATATCAATATATAAATCTCTACAACTTGATTGTGTTGCAATAGACTGTTTTTCAAACCATTCTTTTTTTGCTCTTTTATTTTCATTAATAACTTCTATTAATAATGGTTTTCTAAATATGTCTCTAATAGAACAATAAAATCTCTCTATTAAGTCATCAAATATTTTTTTGCTTGTCTTAATAAATTGCTCTAATGGTGATGCCATTTGTTTTCTCATATTTATTCTTGTCCCTTTTATCTTTTCATTTAATGTTATTAATCCTTCTGATGCTCTAATAACATCTGGGTCAGGATCATTTGCTAAATATTCTAAAACTTCTTGATATTTATTTCCATTATATCCTTTTGACATAATTTTAAAGATTAAAACAACAAGTAAACTTCTTACCGTAGGACATCCATCTTTTGCTAACTCAAATATTATGCCTTGTAATCCATTTAATATTTCTTGTGTTTCTTCGCTTCTTGCTTGGGGTATTCCATGCATTATTAAATAAATTACTGAACTTCGTACAAGTGGTCGTTTGTCTTTAGTTAATTCTATTATCATTCCTTGTATTTGTGGATTCTCATAAATTCCTCTTTTTGTTGTTTCTTGTTCAATAAGACGTGCTAAACATACCATTGACCAAACTTTAATTAGCCAATTTTCTCTTCTAGACGTTCCAATAAAAATATTATAAAGTCCTTTTGTATCGATTTGTTTCATAACTTCTCCATCTCCAAATATTTGTGCTAATAAAAATAATCCACAGATACTTTCTTTTGGATTTTCTCCTTTTTGAACAATTCTGATTAATGTTCTAATAGACCCTCTAAGGTAATGTGAAATGAGGCTTGAGTCATATGAAAATATCTTTGCTAAACAAAAAACTCCAAATTCTTCTAATCCTTCTTTTTCTAAACTTTGTACTAATAATGGTATAAATCCAATATTAACAACTCGATCACATGCAAAAAATCCTAAATCTACATATTCACAAATTAATCCAAATACTTCATATGTATAATCTTTTCTTAAAAATAATCGAAATATCATTGGTAAGATACATGGTTTAGATGGTTTATCTGGATGAATTGATAACCATGTTTTTAATGATATTATTAAATTATTAAAAAATGGTGATGGTAAATAATTAATTTGTCTTGTTGAATTAATTAATTTAGGAATTGCAAGTTCTAATACACTATCCCATGTTTTCCATAATAAATGATTTGATGTATCTGGAAGTTCTGGAAATGATTGTGGTTTGTAATTAAATTTTTTCATTATTCTACATGCCAAAATAAAATGTCTAAATAATGATGCTACAGCAATATCTTGTCTAAATAATTTCATAAAAAGTTCTGCTGGTAATACATTCCATGCAATTGCTTCAATAATAGATGTTAAAATAGCATATAATTCTGAAAATGGTTGTATTTTTGTTTTATTTTCTATAGGTAATGTTTTTAAAAATGATGTTGGTATAGGAATAATACATTCTGTTGAATAATAATAGTCTAATATTGCCATTGATAATGGTGTCGTTAAACATGTTGAAAATATATCTATTGGATAATTTGGATTTGTTTGAGGTGCTTGTAAATCTCCATATCCTGAAAAAACAATATATTCTGCTACTTTTTTATGTTGTTTTTTTATTATTTCATTTCGTTTTGTAAACCATTTGAAAAGTCTTTCTGAATATGGACAATCAAATACATAAACTCCTCTCTCTCCTAAACATGCATAAATTTCACTAATATTCATTGGTACATATGTAGTTATATCTTCATCAAAAAACCAACATTCATGATTAATTGTTGGTAATGGTACTCCATGTCCATTATA